CTAAACCCTAAACCCTATACAAGCCAAGAAATTCAAAACTCCCAAACCCAAACCCTAAGCCCTAAACCCTAGACAAGCCAAGAAATTCAAAACTCCCAAACCCAAACCCTAAACCCTAAACTCTAAACTTTAAGTCAGCCAAGAATTTCAATCCCAAACCCAAACCAAAACCCGGGATCGAATTGCGACCCGCAATAGAAAACAGTCAGGGGCTGGCTGCTCGGATGGAGTTTCAGCCGTGAGTTTGAGCGGTAATTTAGGGCTTCGGGTTTAGTGTTTCGGGTCCGTTACCCCGAACTGCGGGCGGGTCCTGGGTCCTGAACATTAAGCTCGACCTTAAGAACCCAAAACCCCACCTTTTTTGTAGGTTCTTATTATAAACCCTAATATGGGCTTTATAGGGACCCTACAAAAAAGTAGGTTTTGGGTTCTTAAGGGAACTCACCAAGTCCAACGGCTTGAGCCTAACATGTCTTGGCAGAGGAAATCCGATTTGGGGCGTTGTGTTTTCCTTCTCCCCGTTCTGACCTAAACCCTAAACCCTAAACCCTAAACCCTAAACCTTAACTCAGGTTCTCAAACCAAATTTCAGGCACATGGCTGACATGAGTAGTATCTGCGTGCCCTCAAGCCTCAGCCACGGGTCCACGGCTGCGTCCGAGTGGGAGGGCGTATGCTAGCCCAAAGCCGTGAGCCCAAAACCCCAAACAGAGTCCGGAGCTTCGTAAGCCCTCAAGAGAGTCCATAACTTCGTATCCACGAGTATCCCTTAGTGTTTTTGTGTAACCTTGATTTATAGAGGAGTCCTTGGACCACCAGTTCTGAATCTTTCAAAACTCTAAGCCCTCCTTCTACGCCTCACCGCCCAAAACCCTAAAACCTAAACCCTAGACCTGCGACTATGGAGCCTCGCCTGGCTTGTGCGAGTTGTGAGAGCCTAAACCCTAAACAGCAACCTAAGCACTTGACGAGGTGACGAGGCTACTCTGAAGTTCTACAGGCAGTACATGGGCATCGACCAATCCCAGGCCAGCACTTTCTGTACAGGGCTTGGTGAGGTTCTTCCTTGGGTTTCATGGGTGTTTAGGAAGAGTTGACAGGGTCTTTGTACAGGTTTAGGGGTTTAGGGTTTAGGGGTTTAGGGGTTTAGGGTTTAGGTTTAGGGGTTTAGGCTTAAGGGCTCTTGAAGGCCGTAGGGTTATCGAATATTGCTAGTCAAGATGGTGAGACGATGCCCAAGCCACGACCCTTAGTTCCTTCTCCCCAAACCCTGAACCAGTACATGCACACCCTCAACCCTAAACCCTAAACCCTAAACCCTAAACCCTAAACTCCTAAGCCCTAAACCCTAAACCCTCACAGGGCCGCATCGACGTTTCCGAGAAGCCTGCCGCTCGACGAATCTGCAGAGGGCTCTGCGGAGGGCTCTAGGTCTACGTCTTGATCATGAGGGTTTCGGGGATTAGGGTTTCGGGTTTACCTTAAGAACCCAAAACCCACTTTTTGTAGGTTCTTATTATACACCCTAATATGGGATTTATAGGGGCCCTACAAAAAAGTGGGTTTTGGGTTCTTAAGGTAGGGTTCAGGATTTAGGGTTTATAAAGAGAGTCTGGAGGTTTAGAGTTTAGGGGGTTTAGGGGGTTTGGGGGGTTTAGGGGTTTAGGGTTTCGGGTTTAGGGTTTAGGGGGTTTAGGGGTTTAGGCTAACTAGGCTGATACCCGAAGGCCTTCACCTGCTCAGCTCTGCGATGGGGATCAATACTAGACCCTGAACCCTAAACTCCAAAACCCTAAACCCTAAGCCTTAAATCCGTAAACCCTAAACCCTACACTTCTAAACCCTAAGCCCCAAACCCTAAACCCTAAACTCCTAAACCCTTAAACCCTAAACCCTAAACTCCTTAAAGCCCAAACCCCTAAACCGTAAACTCCTAAACCCTAAAGCCTAAACCCCGTCCTCAGGGCTGCCTCTCCTAATTCTGCATGACATACCTAAACCCTTGTGCTAGTTGTTATGAACCCGGAGATTCCGCAAAACTCGCTTCACTGAGGAATATGCGTCATATCATACTAGGGGTCCCATTATAACTAGAGGAATCTACTATGAATTAAATTCGGGTTCCTATTCTAACTGAGGGTATGTTCATCATCTCATATCTTAGTTTTTGTATAATTTCAGGTATATTCCTCAATTAAGGGGTTTTGGAGTCTCTGAGAAGGCTTCTTTTTCGAGGCATCTTCCAAAGCTCAGAGATTTCACGTGGATCTCTCTTAGTCCTCGCTCTCCCGGGGCCTACAAGTGTCATGGGAAGTAGTAACACGGGCTATCTATTTAGGGTTTAGGGGTTAGGGTTTAGGGTTTAGGGATAAGCATAAGTTTAAACTCAGATCATAGCTGTGTCTTACCTTGATGAATGCGACGCAAGGACGGATTACGAGAAGCTATTTCCGAGTGCACTCGTTGGTAGGTTGACGTTTCCAAGCACATGCTGAAAAAAGGTGGGCTGCTCACAGTCCTTGCATTCCTGTTTGCGCCTCATTGCTCTTAGGGCTACGATACCACTGCCAAACCATGAGCTCCTGAAGAAACCCTAAACCCCCCTAAACCCTAAACCCTAAACCCTAAACCCTAAGCCCTAAACCCTAAACCCTAAACCCTAAACCCTTGACCCCTTAAGCCCCGGGCTCCGAAATGCGACGTCCCCGGCGCCTTAGGTGACGCACTTGAAGTTGAAGCCGCCGCCGCACACGGGTGTGGGCCGGGAGGAGGACGGTTTCGGGTTTAGGGTTTAGGGTTTAGCGGTTTAGGGTTTAGGGTTTAGCGGTTTAGGGTTTAGGGCTTGCGGCGCTGGGCGGGCCTTGATAGCAGGATTCGATGCCTTTCTGCTGGCGGCCTCTTGTTCAGGGGCCCGGTGTCTGGACTTCACTCCGCTTGCAAGCCTTCAGTCTGAAACCTTAAACCCCAGTCTCCTCGACGAGTGCTGGAACCCTATGTGGGGGAAGCCCCAAAGCCGAAACGATCCGAAACCCCTAAACCCTAAACCCCTAACCCTGAACCCTAAACCCCTAACCCTAAACCCTAAACCCTAAACCTAAACCCCTAAACCCCTAAACCCTAAACGCTAAACCCCTACACCCAAAACCCCAAACCATCCGTAGGCCTACGAGGTTTATTTCGAGCCCCGAGAATCGAAACCCTTTGCCTAGACCCTCGGAGTTCCGAACAGAAAGACACCGGATGCAGGCGCCTTGCGAGTAAAGGCCCACCCTGAGCCCGAGGATAGTTGCTAATATTATTCCTTCCGCTTAAACAATAAGTACTAAGGCCCCTACAGTGGTCATCGGACAATATCTTAGCAAAAGCTCTCTTCTAGGTAGTATTTCCTTATGGTATCTATGCGAGACCCGTATGAATCCATTCAAGAAAATCCAGTTCAGCCTTGAGCCCGAAAGCGATCCCTCTACGACCCCTAGGGTTTAGGGTTTAGGGTTTAGGGTTTAGGGTTTAGGGTTTAGGGTTCTCGTACCAAAGCAAGCCCTTACAGCACGCAGTCTTTATTCACTGTTTTTCTTGCTTATGAACTTCGACGCAGAATAGAGCCTGTAGAACCTAAGCCCTGTAAACCCTATAGACCCTATAAACCCTACCCTAAAACCTAAACCCTAAACCCTAAACCCTAAACCCTAAACCCTATAAGCCCTACCCTAA